CCCTGCCACAGAGGAAGAGTGGGATGGGGGGATGGGGGTGGGAGGGATACTGGGATCAGTGGTGGTGGAGGATGGGCACTGGTGGAGGGATGGGCATTCGATCATTGTATAACTGAAACCCAAGCACAAAAATTTGTAAGTCTACAACTGTACCTCATAGTGTTTCACTAATAAAAATATAAAAAATAAAATAAACAGGAGTGTGATAAAAAAAAAATTAGCTGGTTGTTTCATGACCTTTTGCTCTTTAAAATCATCTTAGCAACTTTTATTGTGGTAGCTTTAGAATGATGCGTATCTATCCCAGAAATAGCAGTTCATGTTTTCAGTGGCTGCTAACCACCTTATTCCTTTTTTTCTTTTTTTTTCCTTTGGGGTCACATTCAGTGAGTGATGTCCAGTACTGATTCCGGGCTCAGTGCTCGGGCATTTCTTCTGGCCGTGCTTGGGGATCATACTCAGGACCAGGGGTTGATCCAGGGTGGGCTTCGTGCACGGGCGAGCCCCTTAATCTCTGTATCATCTCTCTGGCTGCAGGCCCATCTTACTTTTCTGCTAGTGTTTAACGAATTCTTTTGCAGACAACATACTGGGTTTGGGATTAATTGTATTATTTTTTATATTTTGTTTTGTTTTTGAGGGCACACTCAGCATTGCTCAGGGCTTGCTTCTGGCTGTGTGTTTAGGGGACAGTGTGGGATGTAGGGGATTGAACCTCGGTTGGCCCCAGGCGAGGCAAGCTCACCACCCATTATGCTGTTGCCCAGGGCCCTGTGGCTTGATTTCACTTACATATTTTTTGTTGTTGTTTTGGTTTGACTTGGGTTTTTTGGTGCCACACCCAGAAGATGCTCAGGAATTGCTCCAGGATTTACATAGGAATCACTCCTGGTGGTGCTTGGGGGACCATATGGGACACTGGATATCCAACCCAGATCATCTTATGCAAGGCAAATGCCCTTCCCTCTGTACTATGGCTCTAGCCCCTGTTTGTTTGTTTGTTTGTTTGTTTTACTTTACTTTTGGCTTTTTTGGGTCATATCTGGCGATGCTCGGGTTACTCCTGGATCTGTATTCAGGAATTACTCCTGGCGATACTCAGGGGACCATATGGGATGCTGGGTATCTGGGAAGGAACCCAGGTCAGCCACATGCCCGGCAAATGCCCAACCCACTGTACTATCACTCCGGCCCTTTATTTTCTTACATTAGGGAGAGATGTACTTCTTTCATCTCAATTAAAATCTATTATTGCTGGCTTTCACCTCCATATTCTGAGCATTTCTGACAAAGCCTGGATAGATCAGGGCATTCTCTCTCCTGGCAAGATGGGCGTCTGGCACTCTGGCATGAAAAATACTTAAATGTGTCTTTTATCGAATTAGCTTATCTTCCATATCTCACTGGTTTGTCTTTTGGATAAAGTAGTTCTTTATATTCTTTTTTTAATTCACCAGCGGAAACAGACCTTTCAAGTACAAGTAAAATCATGCCAGAAAATCAAGGAATGAAATGATATTTTAAACGTGGTTATTTCTCTTGATTCATTTTCTGATTTTTGTGTCTCTGCTACGGTAGGCTTAGAGTTCTGCTCGGAATTGTGCCACTGTGCATGAGGCATTTTGAATTTTTGAATTTTAGATAGTGGTAACATTTAGTTTCTTTTTCCTTGAAGAGATAGAAAATATCTTTGGCCATGTGAGTCATAAATTTATTCCTTCATTTGAAGCTTCTGGTTGGGTTTTCTTTTTGTCTTTGTGTTTGGGTAGTTGCTCAGGAACCGTGTATACTTGTCAGTTTTGTGAGGAGGGCTATTAATTTTGCTGTATTTTTCTTAGTTGCAATTCTATACTTGCTTTGAATTTGCTTCCCGGCAATCCCGTTTGTCCCATTGCAGATAAGAACAAGTAGTAATGGTCGTAAATCACCGGTTAAGGATGAGATGAGGAATGGCTGTGAGTTCCGAAGCAGATCAGGGATACAACTCTACAACTAACTTTGCCCATGGAACTCAGCATCTCAAATTAAAGCCCATTTTTGAGCCAGAGTATTGGTACAGCGGGTCGGGCGTTTGCCTTGCACTCAGCCAACCGGGGTTTGATCCCCAGCATCCCGTTTGGTCCCCCAAGCACGGCCAGGAGTAATTCCTGGAGAGCAACCCGTGGGCAATGCTGGGTATGGTCCAGAAAACAAATTAAAAAATACCCCAAATATTTTGAAACCTTTCCCTGGGAGAGATAGGGGCCATTTGGGGGCTACCCCCAGTGTTGTCAGGAGCTGTTCCCTGCTCTGTGCCCGGGGGGTGGCACTACTTGGGGCCTCAGCACTGGGGGTCACCAGAGCCACCTCGAGGTCCCCTCGAGGGCCGCACCTGTCGATGCTTGGACTTCCGAGGGATGATGTGTCTTGCTGAAAATCCAGCAGCATTTGCTGCGTGTGGGCCCTCCCTGCCTTAAGCCCAATGCTCCCTCGGGCTCCAGGAATGTTGCCTTTGAGCAGAGCTGTGTGTGTCCTTCTGGTGTCGGCTCTGCTTCTCCCGGGAGCCTTCCCTACTGTAAGACTCTTAGAGCTTCATGTTCGGTCTATAGTCTACTTTCAGCATGCATCTCCCATCCTGGGAGGATCCTCCCAACACCCTTTATTTGGTGCTCCCTTCTCTCTCGGAGCTGCCGTTTCCCCCAGCATGTGCGGCTGGCCTCCCAGCCTCTTTTGCAAACCAGAGCACCCAAAAGGAGAGAGAGAACAAAAGGAAATGCCCTGCCACAGAGGCAGGGTGGGATGGAGGGGTGGGGGGTGGGGGTGGGAGGGATACTGGGATCATTGGTGGTGGAGAATGGGCACTGGTGGAGGGATGGGTACTCGATCATTGTATAACTGAAACCCAAGCACAAAAAGTTTGTAAGTCTACAACTGTACCTCCTGGTGTTTCACTAATAAAAATAAATAAATATATGTGTATATATATACATATATATATATTTACAACAACAACAACAAAGACTCTTAGAGATTCACATAAAAGAGCCCAAGTCTCCCTTTTCAATGGTTAAGCTCACTTGGGATTGGGTTTCAATTGTGGTCCCAGATGGGAGGTCGCTTTCCTGCCCATGCCTGCCTGATGTACTGCCCGACCCCTCCTTTCCCGTGACCAGTTGCGCTACCACCTCTGTGACTGTGAATGACCACACCGGCCGGGCTGGGCACCAGGGAGGGCCTAGCCTACCTGCTTTCTGCATGCAGACCCCATCCTGTATGCATTCATGCTGCTCCGAAATATCCCAACTCTTCTTTGCTTTATTTCTTTTTTCTCGGGGAGTGAACCTGTGGAAGCCAAAGGCTAGTATTTAGGAAGTATGAGAGGAAAGAAACCGGGTTCAAGAAGGTACGCACCCCTGGCTGAGACGTGGGTGACCCAGAGCGGAGCACATACGGCACAGGGAACTCTTGGCAGAGCCAGGGCACTCAGACTCTGGGTTTTCTTTTTTCTTTTTGGGTCACACCCGGCGATGCACAGAGGTGACTCCTGGCTCTGCACTCAGGAGTTACTCCTGGCGGTGCTCAGGGGACCATATGGGTTGCTGGGAATCGAACCCAAGTTGGCCGCGTGCAAGGCAATCACCCTACCCACTGTGCTGTTGCTCCAGCCCCCGGACTTTGGGTTTTTAATTTTTTTTTTTGTCTTTGGATCACATCTGATGTGTTCCTCCAGGTGAGGTGCCAAGGGGGTCCCTCCTGGTGGTGCCCAGGACCCTGCTTCAGACCTTGAATAAGTCCGTGCTCCTGCCCTAGGACTATCTTCCAGGCCCCTGTCCTGACTAATGTTGTACGTGTTTGTTTCATCTTGGGGCCACACTTGGGGGTGCTCAAGACTGGCTCCTGGCTCTGCACTTGGGAAACCGCATGGGGTTCTGGGGTTCGAAACCAGGTCGGCCCCGTGCAAGGCAAGCGCCTTACACACTGTAGTCTCTTTAGAGCTCGTCCTAACTATGGTCGACTCTTTGCTTTTTTATTTTATATACAACTTAATGGAATTTAAAGGTTTCTCCTTTTAAAATACATTTTTAGATCTGCCTCAATAATTAGACATACTTTTATGTGTATCACTTACGATCACGTATCATCCTTTTGTTCACTGATTTGCTCGAGCGGGCACCAGTAACGTCTCCATTCATCCCTGTCGCGTGATGGTGTAGCCAGTGGCATACTGGGGGCTCTTTCGAGGTCAGGGGAATGAGTTATTGTTACTGTTTTAGGCAGATCGAATGCGCCACGGGGTAGCTTGCCAGGCTCTGCCGTGCTTTATATGTATAATATATATTATATACATACTATATATAGGTAAAGGCCCTCCCGTTGATCGTCGATTTGCTCGAGCGGGCCCAGTAACGTCTCCTTTGGAGACTTTGTTGTTACTGTGTCTGGCATATCGAATACTCTCGGTAGCTTGCCGGGCTCTCCAAGAGGGGCGGAGGAATCGAACTCGGGTCGGCCATGTTGGCTGCGTGCAAGGCAGACGCCCTACCCGCTGTGCTATCGCATATATACTATATATGTAAGATATTCGATATGCCAAACACAGTAACAACAAAGTCTCACAATGGAGATGTTACTGAGCCCGCTTGAGCAAATTGATGAACAACGGGAGGACAGTGCTACAATGCTATACATACTATATACATATGTACATATATACATAGTAGCTCGTGGATAAGCCAGCCTGCATATATCACATAGGACTTCCTTCTACAGAATAGAACAATGGTTTGAAAATCCCCGGTGCCAGGGGTGGTTGGTTTCTTGGGATATTTGATCGTGTTGCATCTGATGCAATGAACCCCCTGGTTCTTTGGTGTGCCTGCGTTGATACTGGGCGGAGATAGATGTTCCCGACTTTGGCCCCCTGTGCAGCCCATGGTCCTTGTGTGTAGAGTGGGCGTGGCTCCATCCATCAGACGGGAGGGTTCCCTGCTGACTCTCCCATCCTCGCTGTCCTCCTCCAGAGACTGGTGGCCAGTACCGGCAGCAAGCAGCGGAGTCGCCTGTCCGTGATGGCCCAGTACCTCTGCCACGTCCAGCACATCCTGACCATTCCCGGCCGGGCCTTCGTCCCCAAGCCAGAGGTGAGTGCTGCCTCTTCTACATACTAGGACCGGGATCTCAGTGGCGACCTTTGTTCTCTTCCCTGTGTCATAGGAACGGTGTGTCAACTAAAATTTGGATCTCTAAGTCTCTAGGATCTGATTTTGTTTGGGGGGAGGGAGGGGTTGCACCCATAATATATATTATATATTATGTGATGCTCAGGGGTTACTCAGGAATGACTCCTAGCAGTGCTCGGAAGATCATATGGGGTGCCGGGGATGAAACCCAGTTTGGCCCCCTGGTGCAAGATCAACGGCCTGCCTGCTGTTCTATCACTCTGGCCCCTGACATTCATTTGTATACAAACTATATCGGGCCTTTTCCTCTCCTGTTTCTATTCAAGAGCCTAAAAATTTCAACAGGGATTTTATTACTCCGTCTCCTCAAAATAACTAAATGTCTGGTTTATCCATGTTGAATTGATGGTGCATTAGTATTATTTTTACCCTTTTTTGTACACTCTCCCAGTACAGACGGTAGATTATACGGCAGAAACCAGTGAGCCTTGTCATTTCTGATAGAGACCTCTAAATAGAGTTTATTTATTGGGAAACACCCCCATCCCCCCCCCCATTTCACTGTGGCAATGTTATTGGGGGCTGGAGTGATAATTATCTGTGGAAAAAATAGTCCAGCGTTAAAGCTTGGCTTCGACAGCCGTGTGCTCACTGCAGAAACACAGTCTTCAAACCAAACTTTAAAATCCATCCCCTGGTGTGTGCTGGAGCAAGGCCTCTGTTTCACGCGTTGCCGCATGACCTGTGCAGTATGTGAAAGCTCGCCTCTTCACTTGCCTCGCCCGCGACCGACCTGGGTTCGATCCCCGGCATCCCATAGGGTCTCCTGAGCACCGCCAGGAGCGATCCCTGAGTGCAGAGCCAAGAGTAACCCCTGAACATTTCCGAGTGTGAGCACGACCCCCGCTTTGCCCCCCACTCCTCCAAAAACAGAAAACTCTCCTCTTGCTTCCTGGCATATCTGTTGGGCCCCCCATGTGTGGGAAGCGGTGGGCTTGCGGAATAAAGGGTGCGGAGGAGCAGAAGCCTCATGAGATGGGACCTTCCCAGCCTGTGGTGGGCACCTTGCTTCTGGCTTTGCACCCCTCTGGCTGTGACATCAGCGGTTCCCCTCCCCGCCTTATCCCGAGACCCGCCATGACCACAGGCCAGTGTGGACATAGTGAGGGTGAGCTGATGAGCTGACCCCCAAGGCTAGCTGAGCCTTGGCAGTCTCTGTCCGTAAATCTGTCGGTAGTTCCTAAATCAAGCCCCGGTCAGTTGCTCCATACAGCTTCTCTTCAGAACCTCCGGGTGTCTCAACAGCAGGGGCAAGTAACATCTCTCCCAGAAGAATAGATCCTGCTTGGGTCCTGGGTACAATTTGGTGACTCGAGCGGGGGTAACGGATCTGCCTCAGATAGACCCCCTGTGTGCTTCCAGGGACTCTGTATTCTAGAGCAGGCCCCTGTGATGGAGAAAGCCAAGTCACCATGCGGAGTCCTTTCTTGATCCGCATTTTTATCTGGCATTTAAAGCGCTTTTCCCTTGGGGACTACGGCCTCTGTTACTTAGATAAAAGCTGGCTGTATCTTTGGTTCTCTTTGTATTGAGGGATGATCATTTCTGCCAAATTAAACCTATTGATAGCAATTTTTCTTTGACATGCTTTTCATCATCTTGCAAATACAGCACGCGGGGATGGAGGGGTCTCATTTGTGATCTGGGGAAGTCGTTTTCAGGATGGGAAAAGGGGATATGTTACGCCAAAGAAAAGCAAAGAATCGGATGCTTACATTTTATTCCTGAAAGAATTTCTCTGCTGCTTTCAAGTAGCTTTTTCCCATATTAGGGTAGATCAGAATACCCCGAGGAAAGCCAGGAAAGATTTGACTGGTGGGTTTATGAGTGGAGTTTTTAAAACATGCACTTAAGGAAGGAAGGGGAAAGTCTTTTCAGAGATGGTAAAATAACCACAAGACTGTCCCTCCAGCAACACTGCTCTGAAACACAAGAAGAGAGTCATAAATAACACAAATAACCACAGCAGACGGTGAAATATGCTAAGTGCTGCCGAGAGATCCCAAGGAGAAAGAGAGGGCGCTCGTCTCTCGGTGCCGGGGGAAAGTTAATAAAACCCAGTGTCTGTGGTGCAGACCGAACTCTGTGATTTGCAGAGGGAGAATTTCACTCGGATGAGACGAGAAAGGCACTTTTCTCGTGCTAGAGTCGGCTGGCCTTCTGTTCCTGGGCTCTGCGTTAACAAGCTTTACCAAGCCTTAAGACGGGGCTGGTGGCAGTCCTGACTAGTTGACCCCAGTCTCATCACACTCTTGTTTAATTTCTCTAGTGCAGTCCTGAGTGCCTGAGCCCCCAAAATTCTGTCGGCAGAAGAGCCTCAAAGGTGCTTACACTGCCTCTATGTGGCTCTCTCTCTCCCACTGCTTCCGCCACTAGAATTTGTCATATGTAGATTTCCATTCAGAAACCAAAATTTATGTTTTCCTCTCCCTGTCGCGTTAGTACTTACTTTACCATTCACAAGAATAACCTTCCCTGAATAACCTTGGTTTCTTTTTGGTGCGCTTATTCATATACTTAGTTAAGTCTCTCTCTTTTTTTTGCCAAAGTTACTGAATTCTTCAATCCTGTTGCTAGCTGAACAAACATTTCACAAACATTTGGTCAGTTTGGCACGTATGATTTGTTGGTTTTCTTTTTTTCTCCATGTGTCCGGGCTCAAACTCAGCGCCTCTCACACATGTCAGCCAAATGCTCTGAGGAGCTTAGTGTCAGAACATCCCTGGCCCTGTTTGAGCTTTTTTTTTTTTTTTTAACAAAAAAAGATCAGAGAACAGTGAGTGATTAAGTGCGTTCCAATAATCAGTCTAACATTTCCCAGCCTCGGTTTTCCAGGCATTTGATCATTCCAGATCATTCCGTGTTGCCATGGCGGTGCCCACAGATCATCTCCCAGCTCCCCCCAGCTCTGCCCAAAAGATTCCATTACCAACCCCCCAGCCGTGATGACCAAAAGTGTGTCCAGGTCTTGTCATATACCCTCTGCTATGAGAAAAATAGGGGTCAGAGAGACAGTGTCCAATGGGTTACGATGCTTGCCTGGTGGGGCTGGAGCCATAGCACAGCGGGTAGGGCATTTGCCTTGCACCCGGCCGACCCGGGTTCAATTTCCAGCATCCCATATGGTCCCCTGAGCACCGCCAGGAGTAATTCCTGAGTGCATGAGCCAGGAGTAACCCCGGTACATCACTGGGTGTGACCCAAAAGGCAGATTCCGGGCCGGATAGAGCCCCACTGTTGCTTCATACATAATGTCTGATTAGAAAACACTTGCATGTCTATTTAGGAAGAAAATACTCCAGAGCCAAGTCAAATGAAGGTTCATCTTTGAAATGCTCTAAGCTTATGAAATAGTTACAGAGAGACTTTAGAGCAGGGTGGTCGCAGATAAAACCTGGGGAGAAGCATACGGTTGACAGAGCAGCCCTCTCATTCATTGGTATGAAAGGAAACTCAGTGTGACTGTCACTGTCACTGTCACTGTCCTCCCATTGTTCATCGATTTTGCTCGAAGCGGGTCTAGTAACGTCTCCATTGTGAAAATTGTTACCGTGTTTGGCATATTGAATACATCATGGGTAGTTTGCCAGGCTTTGCCGTGTGGGCGAGATACTCGCAGTAGCTTGCCGGGCTCTCTGAGGGGCGCAGAGGAATTGAACTCGGGTCGGCATTGTTGGCCGCTTGCAAGGCAAGTCCCTACCCACTGTGCTATCGCTCTATGCTATATATGTGTGTGTATATAATGCTTTTAATATCCGTATACAGTGTGTGTACATGTATACTTATGCATATGTGTATAGGTATATCGTATACACATACGCCATATGTGCATGTGTTTATGTGTATATGTATATGTGTCTCTATGTATGTGTACGTAAGTATATATGTATGTATGTGCATGTGTATATGTGTATGTATGTATATATATATGGTAGAGGAACCCAGGTGTGTGGGACCCAGGGCTGAGATCTCCAAGCCTGCTCGGATTGGGACTGGGCCTCCTCCACCCAGATCCCCCATCTTCCAGTAGCTAGGCGTTAAGGCCCACCAACTGCCCCCCACACCATGTTATCCCATCAACAGCCAAGACCCAGGGACTATAAAACCCAGCTCCTGGAAGAGAACAGCGCAGTCTCCTGCCTCCGCACTTGGCTGTCCTTACCAGGGAGCCTTGGAGGAGCGCAGGTTGAGTTTCCCTCCCTACCCCAAGCAGAGCCCCAGCAGCTGAAGACCTCCAAAACCAGCCACAGCCATATTTAAGACCACTCTACACACGTTCGGACAAGCCTCACACATGAAGGAACCAGCAGAGGAACCCAGGTGTGCGGGACCCAGGGCTAAGATCTCCAAGCCTGCTCAGATCAGGAATGGGCCTCCTCCACCCAGATCCCCCGTCTTCCAGTAGCTAGGCATTATACCCACCAACTACCCCTGGCGCTGTATTATCCCATCAAAGGCCAAGACCCAGGGACTATAAAACCCAGCTCCCAGAAGCGCGCGGCCGCATTTGCAGCTGTGCAACCTCTTTATTGTCCAGTTCTCACTCTTGGAGAACCCGACAGGCTACTGAGAGTATCCTGCCTGCACGGCAGAGCCTGGCAAGCTCCCCATGGCGTATTCGATATGCCAAAACCCAGTAACAATGATGGGTCTCATTCCCCTGACCCTGAAGCAGCCTTCAATGTGACACTTGCTAAAATCTCAGGGCTAGGACGAATGGAGACGTTTCTGGTGCCTGCTCGAGGAAATCGATGAACAACAGGATGACAGTGATACAGTGATGTATGTATATGTGTGTGTGTGTGTGTGCGCGCGTGTGTGTATGTGTATGTATGTGTGCATATGTAGGGACCATTCGGGGGAAGTGGGCTGGTGGTGCCATGGATCAAAACTCAGGCCTGGCACATGCAAGGCATGTGTTCTACTGTTTGAGCTCTCTCCCTGGCCTTCAGTCACTTATATGTCTGCTTTAATATTCCTTTCCTAATTTCCTTATGAAAGGTAGCACCTTTTCGTTTCAGGTATTTTGCTAATAGTTAATGACACTCTTGCAGAAAATGATGATATGCTTAGTAAAATAGGTACAAAATACTTTAATCTTGACTTATACACAAATGAAAATTATTTACTCAAAACTTTTCTTCCCACATCCTGAGTTATTAACAAAAAAAAATGGTCTTTTTTCTTCCTTATATTATATTGTGAGTACTAAGGTTAAATTATCAAATGAATACTAGAATAACTGCAGTATTTCCATTGCACACTGGCAATCCAATTTTTGGTTTATTTAAAAGGCATTTGAATTCCAGACGATAATTTAACTCATATTTTAAAAATACATTCTTTGTACTACAAAATTACTTTTACTTTCATCAGTTAAATGAAGCAGCTCGTTTATAAAACCAACAACGTTTTCACTAACGTGACTCGAACTAGAGGAAAACGACATCTCAAAAATAACTTTATCGCCCAAGTACTAATTAATGAGGGCTAAATGTAAGTCTTAATTGTTCGATAAATGGGTTCCACCTGGGAAGCAGTTGGAGCGTTTTAAAACAAACCTTTATCGTCACCGCTGAGCTGCCTTCATGCATCAAAGGTCCGAGAAGTTTGGGATGGGACGTACTGACCAGTGTCTCTTCTTCACCTGTCGAGTCCATGATCACCAGCCCATCAGTTCTCATTAGTGGACGTGGATACTTGACTGCAGTGGGAAGGGGTCCAGGCAGGCGGCCTGGAGCAGGGGCCCGGGTGACTGGGTTAGCCACAGCTGAATGGGGAGGGTGGGCAGCTCACTGTCCCTGCTGAGAAGCGGGGCTTGAGGGTGGCGAGGCCCCTCCCGCCGAAGGACAGGCATTTCCCAGACTTGGCCACTCCGATCGTCTGCAGGATCCAAGTTAAGTGTCAGTTCAGCAGGTTGTCTTGGGAAGGAAGAACACTCAGTGGCCTTCCTGTGTACCAGAAGAACCTTTTCCAATGATAAACCTTGTGTGAAAACATGAAAGCAAGAAACTCAAAAAGAGCCTCGGGACCGATGAAGATGGTGCATAATACTTTGGAGGCATCTGAGACCACCTCCTCACCGCTGTTGGAACCCCTTTTGTTCTTGGTAGAGAAAGTTTTTGTTGGGCTTTTTTCTTTGGGGGGGAGGGTGGTGAGGGAGGCGGCCACACTCGGTGATGCTCAAGGCTTGCCTCCTGGCTCTGCGCTGCAGAATCAGCCCTGGCGGGGCTCAGGGGACCCTGTGGGATGCCAGGATGGAACCCGGTCAGCTACATGCAAGGCAAGCACGCACTCCCCGTGCTACCATGGGGCTCCAGCCCCTGCTTTGGTTTTCTGGGTTTTTTTTTTGTTTGTTTTTTGTTTTTTGTTTTTTTTTTTTGCTGGCGGCGGGAGGCCGGCAGGGCCGCGGTGCTCACACGTAGTCCTCCAGGTGGTGGGTCGCCTTGTCCGGCGTTGGCAGCAGCTTGGGGGGCTGGCGCCCGGCTTCCACCCGCTTCCTGGCCCCAGAGCCGCAGAAGACCCAGCCGGAGACCAGCAGCAGCACGGCCGAGACGAAGCCGGTGTAGACGGCCGCCCCGGGCTCCGGCTTGTTGCCCTCGGGGACTGTGAGGTCCAGGAAGGTGGCCACCATCTCCCGGGTGTACCACACCGGGGGCACCGCGCCCGCCAGCCCAGCCGCCAGGAAGCAGGCGCCCGCGGCCCGCGCAGCGTGGCGCTTGGTGTCCTCCCCGTCGCCGCCCAGGCGGGTGCAGCTCATGCCCACGGGGGCCGTGCAGATGCCCAGCGCGGCCAGCACGCAGGCCAGCACCATCGCAGCGCGTGCCGCCTGGACGTGCACCGGGAGGCCCAGCACCGAGGTGCGTGGCGCGCAGCTGAACAGGCCCGTGCTATGCCACGTGCAGTCCATCCACAGCCCCTGCAGCTGTTCCACGGCTGACAGGATGCTGGCGCCTGCCACCACGCGCACCTGCCAGCTGGGCAGCAGGGTGGCCACCAGCACTCCGCACGCCCCTGACGCAGCCAGGGCGAACGCCACCAGCTGCAGGTGCATGGAGCCCATGGTCCTGCTGGCCCGCGGAGGCCGGTGGACGGCGCCGGGTCCCGGGAGACGAGGGGCTGCGATGGGAAGGAAGGTCAAAGTCAGAGCGTCCCCACAGCCAACCCCGGTTCTGTCCCCCTCACATCCTGTATGGTCCCCCCTGAGCTCCAAGAGGGGTGATCCCGGAGCACAGAGTCCGGAGTAAGCCCTGAGCACTGGTGGGGGGGGCTGTATGACCCCCCCAAAATGACCAGATAGGATGGAAGGAAAGAGGGGTCCCTGTGCACAGCAGCTTTGGGGTCTTGTTGCAGCTCCAAGGAGGCAGTGAGGCCCCAGGGAAGTGGGGGAGCTTCAGCAAGACCACTGAGGGTGTCAGCAGGGACGGAGGGGAAGGCCAGTGCCCAAGGCTGCAGGCTCAGGGGCCACCCGACTGAGACCAGCACCCACCGCTGGGGACTGGGGGTCAGAGAAGGCATTTTAGTACCATTGCAGGGCTCTTGTGGTTTGGTATTGTACGCCCTTCCTTCCCCTGACCCCCCACCCCATCCCACGTGCACGCACACACACACACACACACACACACACATATACACACACGCACACATGTGCACACAATGCCAGTATCAAACCCAGGGACTCGCGGGGTTGGAGAGATAGCACAGCAGGTAGGGCGTTTGCCTTGCACACGGCCGACCCGGGTTCGATTCCCAGCATCCCATATTGTCCCCTGAGCACTGCCAGGAGTAACTCCTGAGTGCAGAGCCAGAAGTAACCCCTGTGCATCGCCAGGTGTGAACACGCCCCCCAAAAAAAGCAAACCCAGGGAGTCGCACTTGCAACTGTTCTGCCATCTGATAGCCCCGCCGACAAAGTTGTGCTTTTAATTCAGACAGTCCAGGTAGTTTAGGGATAGTTTAACTCTCTGTCTGTCTGTCTGTCTGTCTCTGTCTCTGTCTCTCTGTCTCTGTCTCTCTGTCTCTGTCTCTGTCTCTGTCTCTCTCTCTCTCTCTCTCTCTCTCTCTCTCTCCCCCCCAATAGAGTAGAACGGTATTTTCTTCCTTTTAAAAGAAAAAAATTTTTCATTTCGGTATTCAAACCCTATTTTTTAACTTAAAACCAAGATAAATATATTTGACTCCCACTGTCAGCCAGGCACCTGACCCCGGTGAACTGTTTGAGGAGGGAGAGAAAGTACCAGAAAGAGGCTGTGGCCACTCGCGTGATGCACCCCCCCCCCCACGCTTCCCGTCACCCCGCGCGAGCCCTACCTCAGGCAGCCCTGCACAAGCCAGCCGCCGCCTCCTTCTCACGAGCAGCCGAGCGCCCCCGGAGCTCGCGCTGGCATCACGTCCTGACCCAGATAGCGGCGTCTGCTGCAAAACCGGTTACTCTGAGCCGATCCCGAAGCACCTCTGTGCGGGAGAGAGTGAAAAGACCAGAAAGGAGCCATCGTGAGGGGTGCAGAGGGGGGCCAGCACCGTCTCACGGGGATACAGGCTGGAGTTGCATGTGTCCCCCTGAAGGAGGGCCGTCTGGGTCACCCGTCACCTTCCGCAAGGAGCAGAGGCTCCGAATCCCAAATGCCCAGGCTGGCTCTTGCCTGGCCAGAGCCCTCTGCCCCACACTGCCTTCCAGGGGACAGGGGGACCCATTGTGTCAGCCCTTCTGTGGCAGCGTGTCACCTACCCACATCTTCAGGAGTTACCTGACTCATCCCAGGTGTCCACTCACTTGTCACCGACGTCGCTTCTCTTTACCTGGGAGATGCGGAAATCAGTATTGAGTGGCTCTGGGGGCTCCCTTCTCTCCTCCTCGGATGATTTGCTTCACAGATCCTGAGAGCCCAGAGAACCCCAGACACACTTTTGATGCTTCCCCGTTCCTCTGTGTAGTGGTTCAGCAGCAGATCAGTTGTTCTAGAACATTCCCCTCTCTTCCCACCTCACGCCATCTTGCCCGTTCCCCCCACCCACTCCCGAACCCACGGCCCCGTGAACCCTTGTGTGATTCCTAGGGGAAACAAGGAAAATGCTGCATCTGGAGGTAAAAGGCACCAGACACTTCAGCTGCCTCATCCAGAGGGTAGGAATAGGGTGATCGGCTGCCCCGGGATGGCTTTGTTGGGCAACTGAGAGACTGTTGACCTGTGTCTGGATTAAAGATAGCCATAGTCGGGCTGGAACTGTAGTACACTGGGTAGGGCACTTGCCCTGCACGCGGCCGACCTGAATTCAATCCCCAGTACCACGTAGAATGCCCCGAGCACCGCCAGGAGTGATCCCTGAGCACAGAGACAAGAGTAAGCCCTGAGCACTGCCAGGGGTGGGCCCCAAACCAAACCAAAAAGTCTTAATTGCCACATCAGTTCTAGAAGAAGTTGAATCCTAGGGCTGTCTGAATGCCACTGTTCTGTTTTTGTGCGTTCATCATTTTAAAAATGTAAGTTCATGATGATGTAAGTAATGTAAGTTCATCGTGATGAAGTCATGAAATTTACATACAAGTGGTACTACATGGAAAGTATCACGCTAAGCGAAATGAGTCAGAAAGAGAGGAATAGACATAGAAAGATTGCATTCGTCTGGGGGATATAAAGTAACAAAATAGGAGACTAACACCCAAGAGTGGCCGAGATGAGTACCAGGAGGATTATTCCATGGCTTTGAGGACAGCCGCACACGCTAGGAGAAAAGGCAGTTCAGATAGAGAAGGGAGCACCAAATAAAGGGTGTTGGGAGGATCCTCCCATGATGGAAGAAGCATGCTGAAAGTAGACTATAGTCCGAACAAGATTGCCACTCAGTGTCTCTTTTGCAAACCACAGCACTCAAAAGGAGAGAGAGAACAGAGGGGAATGCCCTGCCACAGAGGTAGGGTGGGATGGGGGGAAGGGGGGTGGGAGGGGTACTGGGACTGGTGGTGGTGGAGAATGGGCACTGGTGGAGGGATGGGTATTCGATCATTGTACAACTGAAACCCAAGCACAAAAATTTGTAAGTCTACAACTGTACCCCATGGTGTTTCACTAATAAAACTTTAAGGAAAAAAAAATGTAAGTTCTACAATTTGAGGCGAGGATGCGCCTAAAACTTGGAATTCCTCAGGGTCGGACAGCCTTAAGTTCAGCTTCACAACAGCCGTCACAAATTGCTGTTTTCCAAATTCCTTTTCCTGCCTAAGACCAAAATGGAACCACAGTTGAAGTCTATAGGGGCGGCGGATAGAAGCGCATGTTTGTAGTTCCATAATAGCTGTTTTTGAGTGTGGGTTTTTTAGCCTGTCAGACACCAGCCCCCTCCCGGACTGTATCCATCCCACTGAGGGATCTTCACGAGAGAGATGAGTCACCTCTGAGCTCGGCGTTTCTCTCTCTTCCCTCTGAGTGATCTGTGTATGTGTGGATCAGGCTGAGCTCACTTTCAGCCCTTTTCTTCCCGTTAACCAGCAAGACTTCATACACATATAAAATTCCCGTGCGTTTCAGACTGGCAGGCAGCTTGCTGGTCTCAATGAATAAGCCCTGGCAGAAATGAATCACGCACAGCCAGAATCGGTGTGAACAGTATGCCAGGGCAAGAGAGCCCGGGGTACCCACTGTCCACTCTAAATCTCATTTCTGGCCCGGGGAATTTAGCAGCAAGGATCTGCTCTCCCGAATGAGGGTCACTACTCTGTGCCTTCCTGGGAAAACTGGTAGTTGTGGTCTTTGTCATATTGCTACAAAGTCTTTTTCTTTTTTCTTTTCTCTCCACCACCGCATGGCACAGTTTTTTGGCCTGCTTGCTCGAATTTCTGTCTCGGAGAGAATAAAGGCAGACTTTGTCTCGGTGGTGCAGCAGTGGCGACCCAGACGTACCGTAAGAGTCAGCAAAAAAAAAAAAAAAAAAAAAAAAAAAGCAAAGGGGTCACACCCCAGGACTTAGCTCTGAAGAGAGGAAAAACCTCCTGGTTCCAAAGTGCAGTTACCCGGAATGGAACCCGTGAAAGGTCAATTAGTTACCAGTTTGCCCACAGGATGCCATGGGCTTCTTTCAAGTACCAGGTCAGGCTCCTGGCTCAGATTCATTTATGTAAAGACCAAGATTTAAGGGGCCCTACCCAGAAGCAGTTGCCTTGCACGCGGCTGACCCAGGTTCGATCCCCGGCATCCCCTCTGGTCCCCCGAGCACCACCAGGAGTGATCCCTGAGTGCAGAGCCAGGAGTCAGCCCTGAGCACCACCCAGTGTGGCCCCAAAACAACCCCAGAAAAGACTGAAGTGTAAGAACAGGCTTACAACTTACAGCTGGAGCTAGTGAAGACTTGAATGTCCTGAGGTCTTCAGGCGTGGAGATGGCAGAAGCTTCTGGTCTTCCACACTCCTGGGACTGCAGTAGCTTTAAGAGGTCCCCACGCCCTTCAGCCCGGGTCTTCAGGTGAGCCCCATTCAGGGATGGGGGCGAGAGAGAGCACCTGCACGCGAGTCCTGTCCGGACTTCTGAGTACTGGCGAGAAAGCCCCAAGTCGGGAACTCACGGGGGGAGCCCTAACGGGGTTTTCGCCGTGCGAGGTGATGAGTGTGCGAGCAGTTAAGTACCGGGTTCTCCGTCCCATTTTTCGAGCTGTGGGAGAGCAGAGGCCGCAGAGGCGGGGAAGGGCGGGCGCTGTCGGCACCCCGGGGCGTGTGGAGGCCTGTGGGCTGAGAATGCGGCTTTGTGCCCCGGGAGGAGGAGGAATTATTTATTTATTATTGGTGCACACAAGAGGCCTGGCTTTTCTTTGAAGCTGGTGTTTGTTTCCCCCGTCCATGGCTATAATTTATTTTTGAATTTTTATCTCTGCCGGAGGAGAGTTCATTTCTTTTCTGTCCCCCACTGAAAGAGCACAGGCGGGAATATTTTTAACTCGATTGTGCCTTGCTGGCTGAGACTTAGAGATGCTCTTTTTTATTCTGGTGCTGGGGATGTGTCTAGAATCACGACTTACAAAGTTGGTTAGCCTACCAAAAAAAAAAAAAAGACTGCTTAATTAATGTGGTTTTTG